CTGAAGCACTGCTTTACTAAGTGGTATCTAGATACTAGGAAAAGGAATAATTTGTTGGTCCTTCTATCTTTGCCTTTAAGAAATGACACGTTCTTACAAATGCAGGGACGTAAGATACATTTTTCCAAAGCAAGAGATTGAAGGACATAAATGTGTAAATTTAACAATCTGCTAAGTTTTGTAGGTGTAAGTATGTAAAGACAACTGTCCTCTTCTCTCAAAATCAGGCTTGACGTTGAACCGCTTGTAATAACTATTCAAGGAAATCTGAAGTAGTGCAGTGGCAAGCAGACTTTTGTATCGTTTTATTCCTAAAATCAACTCTAAGGATGTCTATTCCTTAAACCAATAGTATGTCTCTTAGCACAATGCTTCCCAAACTGGGCTGCACATGAGAATTATCTGTGTCTGTTTTTAACATACAAATTTCTGGGCCCCACTCCCACTGAATGAGAAAAATATTGGCTGGACTTTGCCTCTTCCCGGAACTCGCATGGGTGTAGACAAGGTGATTAAATTCTCACTACATACTCTTATGAAGTAAATATCATCACTGCCTTCAATAGATAAGAGAACCAGGACTCGGAGAACTTAACTTGCTTAAGGTCAAATTTCCACAGCCTTACAGTCCTTCTGGATAGAGCACTAAGTTCTGTTATTTTATCGAATGGAATCAACCCGGGGAAAAAGATAATGCCCGTATTCTAATTTATAACCCAAGACTGTTTACTTTTCCTTTCATTAAATGCTTAATAAATAAGTAGTCAGAAAATTAAATACAATCTAAAGCCCACAGGTTACTCTGCAAGACTAGATTATACTTAGCAACAGAATGTTGCCAGCCTGGACTTGCACCCTTTTATTTTTTCTAATTTTTATCCCTTTCCAACCTGGAAAGGTTAAGAAAAGTGGCCCCATGCTGGAAAAGGCCACCTGTGTGTCAAAGGAAGGCCCAAAAAGAGGTCAGCAGAAGTGATGGGGATCAAGCTGAAAGAGGAGAGGTGGGGGGAGGGCATAGCTCAGGGGTAGAGCGCATCCTTAGCATGCAGGAGGCCCTGGGTTCAATCCCCAGTACCTCCCCAGTACCTCCAAAGGAGAGGAAAGCAGATGGAATAGATGGGTAGACTAGGGAAAATGCATTTTTATATTTATTTTCCTGTGACTGAGAATGGATTTTTATAAACGTGTCAAGTCTGCACCTGGGTACTTAATAACATTTGTGGAAATAATCTATTTTGTTTTAATGTAATATTTTCAAATTTCAGGATAGCAAATAGCAGAAACTGCAATGGTAAAGTGAAAGGTAGGTGGGGTAGGTCTCCAGGTCATTCTAAATTGCTTCCACTGCCCTCAAGCTGCTCAACATGGTTGGGTGGGGATTACGTTTAAATGTGCCCAACAGCGCCCTGCTTTCTGCTCCGGTACATACAGTACAATCAGCAGGAGGTGAATATACGCAACTAAGGCAAAACAAACTTTGCAAGAGTCAAATCACTAGAAAATAATTTTTGATAGTAAATGCTTCAATTCAAACATAATTTGTAGGTTAAATTTGCTGCAATTTTTTTGAAGGTAGCTTTTTTTCTGTAGGTTAAATCATCAGGGACATGTTAGATTATGGTCACAGAACTTCTTTAGCTCAGGTATTCAACGCACATTGCTCTCACAGTGAAAACTACAAGTCAAATGAAAAACCGAAAATCAATTTCCCATCCTTGTGAAACTGCTACCCTTTCTTGAGGCTTATCCAGGAATAATACCTTATTATACAGAGTAAAAGAACAGCAAGAAAGAGTTAGGCAGTGGATGTTTTAAAAGCTGAGGGAACGTGGGGAAAGGGTGCAGAATCAGTATTTACACTGACAAACTCTGGTGACACCGTCTCGTTATCGTGTGCTACTCAGCCCTGCGGCTCCTTTGGCTGCCAGATTCTATTGCCTTCAGGCTGTCGTTGCACTTTCTTGATATTTGGAAGCTGCAAAGTAATCCTCCTTTTTCTTGTAACACTGACCCAAGGACAAGAACATCAAGGGAGAGAAGAGACCTGTTCTTTGTTTTGCAACTGGAGAAAATAATTGAAATGGAAATGGAAATGCACAGACAATACATGCTGTGCCCATACACAGCAGCAGCACCCAGGAGGCAGAGGAGCATGGGAATTTCAGACAATACTTGGGTGTGATCAGGGCCGATGCTTTGTGGGACTTCCGGAGCACAGCTGACATGGCGCTCCTTTCATGGTTATACAGTCAATCACGCGGTTCAGCAATGGGCTGAAATACTTCATGGGATGAGAGGAAGGCTGGACCTTTTATATCTTTCCTTAACATTGGCGGTTATTCTGATAAACAGATTTCTGACAGTATCATTTATGGATTTAGATTGGTTCTTCTTAATAGAACCAACCACACTGAGGTGTGTAAACTTTGTTTCCAGCTTCTTTGGTATTCCAGACCTTTCAACTTCCCTCAACTTGTTTTTCTTATTTGCTTCCAGAAGCCCAGGGCTCTAGATTTCCATACTTCTCTCCTGGGGCAGGGACCAGCAAATGGCCTTCCTGGA